CAGACACTCTGAGCGGGCTACCATTGCTTCCTCTTATTCTAATTTTTGTAGCATAGTCAAAATATCTTTGTGTACAATTCAATCACACAACATCATTGAGAATACCAACCTGAAACCCATAAGGTCCTTCCATCAAATCCAGAATCAGAAATTTATGTATACAAGTTGTTTATAACACACAATTCAGCATGTTGATGCTTCCAAGTGACTATATATGGATCAAATGTGAAACACAACTTTCAGAACATACATTCCATCCTCTCTACACCCTCTCTTCAGATATTAATATGCATCAATAAATCTTTTCTCAGTGTTCTCTCAAGGCTGAACAGGTCCAAATCCCCCCGTTTCACCTGACAGAAGAGATGCGTCAGACCCTACTGATCTTCGTAGCCCTCTGCTGTACCCACTCTAGGAGCTCCATATCTCTCTAGTCCTGAGGAATCCAGAACTTCACACAGCACTCCAGATGTGGCCTCACCAGAATAAAGGGGCAGGATCACCTCCTGACCTGTTGGCAATGTTCTTCCCAATGCACCCTAGGAAACCATTTGCCTTCCTGGCCCCCAGGGCACATAGCTGGCTCATAGCTAACCTGTCCATCGGGACCCCCAGGTCAATCTCTGCAGAGCTGCTTTCCAGCAGATCAGTCCCCAGTCTGTGCTTGTGCCTGTGGTTATTCTTTCCCAGGTGCAGGACCCTGCACTTACCTTTGCTGAATTTCAGAAAGTTCCTCTTGATCTGACTCTCCAATCTGCTGAGGTCCCTCTGAAGGGCTGCACAGACTTCTGGAGTAACAACCACTCCTCCAGCTTTGTGTCATCAGCGAACTTTCTGGGGAGACATCTGCCCCTTCAGCCAAGTCATTGATGAAGAAGTTAAACAATACTGGGCCCACTATTGACTCTTAAATGACACCACTAGGCCTCCAACTAGACTGTGACACTGATCACAACCCTCTGAGAGCTGGGATTCAGCCATTTCCCAATCCACCTCACTGTCCACTTGTCCAACCTCCATTTCCTTAATTTGCCTGTAAGTATCTATAGTTACTGAAAGTAAACACACTGAACTTAGAATTCCTGAATCTTTTGATATTTTTTAAAGCAACAAAATTATTTACATCATTATATATGAATACCACATGCCTGCTTTAAATTTTTCTTACTTACGTCACTTTTCTGTTTAAGAAAATACCCTACTAATAAAATCTGAATTGTGAATATATAGTTAAATCTATCTGGTTTACTTACATCCTTCCAAACTAAAAGAAAAAGACCCTCATAAGGCTACTTCAAGAAATAAATTTGGAGCAGGTTGTAAAATTTGTTTGACAAAATTACCTGCCTATAATGCAATATATACATACATAGATCACACTTTGAAGAGTTGTCACTAAGCGTCTTGCTTTGAAAAGACAGATGTCTGCTAAGGAAGGCAGGAACCTCTCTTGAAATGGTAAAAATATAAACTCCCCTTCCCCCCTGAGCTGGTGAATAAGGACTTTACAATTAAAATTGTAAAGCAATATGCTTTTCATGTGTACCTGATCAAAACAGGTTTCAGGTTTAAATATACATTGATCCCACAAGTCCACACCTCCCTGACCACCCATTCCTTACCCACTCTCTACCTCCTTGCACTTCATATTATAACTAGTTTCCTGTAGCACCACACCTCCTGGTGGTCAGGGGCAGGGATATTCTGATGAAGTAAAGACATCTTCCTCAGTGTTAGCTGATTGACCTCTGTCTCTGGGCAGGTGCACTGGAGGTTTGGCTTTCTCCCAGGTCAGCTTGCCCTGGCCAAAACCAGGAGCCTGGTTCTTGCTGGCTTCTTAAACCACAGGCTCTGCTTTATCAGGTTTTCATAACACCTGTCTTGCTTTACTGGGTTTTCACAATATACACCTTATCTTTATGACCTTTACCTAGCAACTAAATTCCTGTCTGTTCTGTTACAAGTTGTTTCTACCTAACATGCTGCATTTCTATGTGTTCATGTTACAAGTTGTTTCTACCTTTAAAGTAAGCTATATTTCTTTTTCCCCTCCACCTGCTTAAGCGCTTTATATGCTTCTCAAATTTTGAATTTTCATATGCATATATGTTTCTCATATCATCCCTTCAAATTATTATAATCTTGAAATCAAGGGGCTCTCAAAGAAAGATACGGGAATAGGAATAACAGTTCTTTACTAGGAAAATAAAAATAAAAATGCTGTAGTACAACCTGACACCCTTTTGGTCAGGGTGTTGGTAGCAGTACAATTAAATGGTGCCTGCAGTCCTCTTGGAGTGACAGATGTGGTTCTGTTGAAGCAATGAACCTGTAGAAGGGTGTAGTTTTCCTCTGAAGGTCCAGTGGTGGTGTAGAACAGTCTGGTCTTCCTCTGGGAACCCAGTGGAAAAGGTCTGCCTGTGGTGCTCCAAGTCTCTGATTATATTTAGGTAGAAATGCTTGGCTCTTGCCACTGGGTGGAGCATCTCACCATGGGATAATGTAATTTTATCAGTCATGCAATGACTCACTCAATGGCCCATTAACTGAGGATATCCCCCTGGAGGGAGGATGGGTTGTGGAAGAGATAAAGAACACTGCCACATCTGGTTTTAACAGCTGGCCTATTAACATATCTATTAAAAGAAAATAACCCCTTGGAGTTATGAGGGATGGGTCATGGAAGAGATAAAGAGCACTCCCTCACTTGGTTTTAACAGCTGGTAATAGAATATATGCTTTTGGTTACATCTTGCATTGCAACCCAAGACACTAAGTATTTCAGGGACAGCAAAATGTAAATGAACAGTGTACCTCTGATGCATTTTTCAGAACAGATAGACAGACACTTTCTACAAAACCTTTCCTCTTCACAGAGGCAGAAAGGGTCAAGCTATTTCCTCTGCAGTATGGGACTAATCTACTTCTTTTGAGTGCAACAAATTTACAACTGTGTTTATTTCATAGTTCTGCTGACTTGTTAGTGTTCATAAGTTGACACCAACTAAAGATAATTTTTCAGTGTATCCAATACGCAAAAAAAGAATTGCCATTTTAAATATATGCCTATAATCTAGACTTGCAGGCAGGAGTATAGTTTATCCAGACTGGGAAATTTATGAGGACTCTGATTCTGGAATCATTAATTCAGATCAGTCCTCATGTGGTTCTGACATTACAATGCAGCAGCAGATTTCTCATATTTAAACTGGAATAAGGCTGCATATTTTGAAATCAGGAAATCTACCTGAATATCCAAAAATAAACACAATGGAATGATTATTTCCAAACAGCAATTTCAATTTCATTTGTTGGCAAGCTCTTCTGGACACATTAACACCTACCATGCTTATTATTAACTTGTATAGTATCAGTATATAGGAATAATTATTTTACTATTGTTATAGTGTCCATTACCAGGAAAACAGATTCTTATTGGGTGTGAGAGAAATTCTGAGGATGAAAAATCTGCAGCTCGGGCAAAATAAAGAAATGCAAAAGTGGTTGAAATACTTAATCCAATAATCTTGCTGGAGTTCTAGGAATGAAATAAAGTATATTGTTTTCTTCAGTTAGTTAATTCAGTACCCTTTTTAGAACTGTGCTGATAGAGTTTTCTTGCGAATGTACAGATTGCTTAACTGATGGCTCACAAAGACACCAAAATAAGAATAAAGATGTTCAAAGAACAAAAGGTTAGCTACAGTAGAATAGCTATGATGACATTACTTAGCAAGACAACCTTGTGACCCAGTAGCATCTGAGGCATATATTGTAAAAAAAAATACTCAAACATTTCCAGAAGTTGGTGGTTTTTTTGGGTTTTTTTATGTCAGAGAAGTCATTATTCGTACAGATTTTAGCAGATGGCACTATTTATTTACTTAGGCATAACATCATAGTGAGATTAATTTTCAAGCCTTTCAAGTGTGTGAAACTTATCTTCCATCAAATATACCAATCCTTGACACTTGCTTGGAAAGATTTTAAAGAATGTTGGGCTTATATAGCCTTTCATTGTCCTTTCAGAACTAATGCACTGAATATGCCAGTACAAAGTATAACTGACAAATTTGTCTCAGAAAAATCACTGCCATCTGGCGTTGCTTTTGAAGGTTACAGCTGCCAATGAAAGACAGCCGACTGTTTCAGGTGACAGTCTCTACCCCCATACTACAGATTTTATTCCTTATTACAGATGCATAAAACCCTCAAAGTAAAACACAGAAACTCAAATTTTAGGAAGTTTAATAGCTATCTTCTCATTACAATTATTCTATTTATCTCACATTATAGTTAATTAGCAGATATATAAAAGTCAGTTGTGTTTCATGCTTGGCCTACCAACTCTGAAAAAGTACAGAGAGATGGTAAAATCATCTGTGAAAATAGCTCCAATGAATATAATTGATGGACTTCTGTAAAAGTCTGATAAATATGTGAATTGCAATACCCAGGTGATAATAACTGGGTGAAACATTAAGGATTTTCCCCAAGGAGAACTGAATTTAGGTAACTGCTCTGCTGCTTTCTGTACCTTGAAGATGGCAGGGTTTTTTGGATTCTCCAAAGTACTGACACATCCCAAAGTACTTTTCTCTAGCTGACTCTCCAAACCAGCACTGTTATGACAGGATGCTCAAAACTATTCAGGCATTGGCAGAAGTCTGTGTGAGACACCCTCCACCAGCCCCCCATGGAAGCTGGCAATCCAAATAACTGGCATGGGCAACTCATGAATGATGTAAACATCAGGGCATAATGGAAAGTGCTGAGTAACCCATACTATGGGTGTGACAAGTTTTGCCCATCGTAAGGTCTGCTGTCACAGTAATAAAGTGCAGCAAACTGCACTTAAAAAACAAAACAAAAAAACCCCCAAAACTCCCAACCAACCAAACAAAAAAATATTAGCCTCCATATGTATTTTCAAGAGCTTGTGTTAACAGTGTTTATGGAACTAGAGTCATGACTGGAGTGTCCTGAAGCAGATGAATTTATCTGTCAGAGCAGCAGCAGGTCACAGGGCTCCTCCACCACTGAAAAGTGCTGGAGGAAGAGATATATGATATGCAGGGCATATTAGAGTGATTATTAAGGAAGCATAATAAACTACAAATAAAAGCAACAACCACATGCTTTAGAAGCTACTGTGCGAAGATGAAACAAGGAAAAATAAAAAACAATTAAAATGGACAATCTCAAGAAAATTATCTTGACATTGATACATTAACTCATGAAAGAGTCTGCTCAGCAGAGGGACTGAAGTTGTATTGTCTGAAAGCTCAGCAAGAAACCTAAACAAATAGATTAGAAAAGATTTGCCACTGAGCACTCTGCCGTTTACACAAAAAGAGCAGGTGAGGCAACAGGTCTTCAACCTTTTCACATTTTAAGGCTGTTATTCATATACAAGTATGCCCTATTCCTCAATAATTATGTGGATATTGAAGAGAACATGTCCTTGATCTGGGGAAGAGCCTGTAGTTATCACTGATGGAATTTCAGAATGTAGCTTTGGCACAGTAACACAGCCCTAAGTATGATAAATGTGAATAATTAAATAAAATAATGAAAAAAATCCAAACCAAAATACAACAAAAAGCCACGAAAAAACGAACAAAAAAACCAAAACATCAC